TTTTTTTTTTTTTTTTTTTTTTTTTAATAAAATAGCACAGACCTGGTCATTTAGAAAGGACAGAGGTTTATTTCTCACAGTGCTGGATTCTGGGCAGTCTGAGGACACAGCCTCTGAACCTGGCCAGGCTGTTTCCGTGTTGTAGCACAGCGCAAGGCTTCCCGTGGTAAGGGATGCACGAGACACAGAGACACAGGACACCAGTGACATCCACTCTCATATCGCTAGCCACTCCGGAAGCAACTGCAGCAACGGTAATGGCATTAATCCACCCATGAGGGCGATGCCCCTGAGGCCCAACTAGCTCTTCAAGGTCTCCCCTCCCAATACCTCCACGATGCCAAAAGGAAACAAGCAAACAGGTTTCCCATGAGGCTTGGTGGAGACACCCACACGGCAGTGAGGCCTGCGCGGCTGTGAGAAGCTGCAGGGGAAAGAACCCAGGTTGTTGGTGGCCACCCCTGCTCACAGCTGTATGAGCAAGGACCGGGAAAGGGCTGACGGTGTCCTCTACGTGGCTGTCTCCTCAGACCCAGGCCCGTGGGACACTGAACAGTCTCACATGGGGTGGCAGGCCTTGAATGGCGTCTCATGTGTAGACAACATGTGTATTCTCAGAGGCCTGGAAGTTCTGTCTGGGGTTTTCATGTTTATGATAACCCAAAGCATATGAGCTTCATTCCACTTTACAACTTAGTATCCTCAGTTTTAAAATGAAGTATTTGGCAGTACAGAAGGAAATATATATATGTTCTTTACAGGTTATAATGAAGCAAACTCCCACGGGCCTACCACCCACATCAGGAAACAGAGTACCACTAACATCCCTGAAGTGAACCATCTCTTCCTCCTCACCCAGGCTCTTGCTTCCTTCATACACGGGGCCGCCCTCGTTCCCAGGCCAGGAGCAGTCACCTAGGTCCTGTAGGAGCATTCACCATGACCAGGCAGGGTCCAGCTGAACTTGCCAACTAGTCAGAGGCAGGGGAAGTGGAGCAGAGGTCCAGAGAATGGACAAAGACCCAAGTCCAGAGCTGGACTTCCTGAACCGGAATCCTCGCTCTGCCTTTTATTGACTGTGACCTCGAGCAAGTTCCTGAGCAACCTTGTCGTGTGTCCTTTTCTGTTTCTGTAAGATGGGAATAAACACAGAGCCTACCTCAGAGGCATAGTTCAGAGCCTGGCAAATGGGGAACACTTGATAGGAACCAGATATGGTCACTACTGTCCCTCAAGTGTGAGGCCATGCCCAGCAAGGACAGCAGGACGCATACGGGAAGGCAGGAGACCAGATCGGCATTGACTGGGTGCTGGGTGCTGGGGTGGGACACAGCCCTGCTGTGGGAGATGGCACTACCCTTCCTGCCCTATCTTGCATCCCTGGCACTGTCCCCTCTGGAACCTGGGCACCTGGCTGGAAGGCGCCAGGAAGCCAGGGGCATCCCAGAGCCCCTGGGAACTGTGAGAATTGCAGCACCTCCAGGAGGCCTGAGAAGTCAGCCTCCGGCCTTGCTTCTGCAGCCGCTCCATTGGGGGGAGGCCTGGTGTGGAAGCATTTTAATGTCTTCTAAATACATAATCTGGGATTAGATGCCATTCACATGACCTTTGTCCATTCTTGCCTGGAGCCACTGAAGTGAGTTAATAAATGCTGGAGGAAGTGGGCAGGCCGGCCAGCGTGGGCTGAGCTCCTCTCCGAGATGCTCTAGCCTCCTCTCATGGTGGCCATTCCACTTCCAAGAGTCCCAGTCTGGGTGCCGAGTTAGCCACACACCCGTTAGCAGCAATAACGTTGGTGATGACGTTCCTGAGGCCTAGTGCCGTTTACTGCAGCTGCCTGTTCACGGAAGCAAAGCAAACCACCGGTGCTGCTTGGAACAAAACGCCCCACAGCAGTTCTCAGTGCGCTCTGCGAGGTCACGGCAGCGTGCACACCACCAGCTTGCTAGGGATGCATCTCGGGCTGCCTCAGCCCACCGAATCAGCTACTCTGCTCTGCAGCCCACTCTCCTGGAGCAGGGTCTGCTATATGCTCTGAAGCTCACGTTCTGATCTGATCAGTTCGAGGGAGAGGGAGAGGCGTGTGTGGGGAAAAGAGCAGCCAAAGTGACAAGCCTGAGTCTGGCCCCAACGCCATTTATCACTATAACCTGGGACATTTCCTGTGCCTGTTTCCTTATCCGGAGATTGAACAATTCCCTTATATGCGTCTCAGGATTGGTGTAAAAATCAGATGTCACAGGGGAGAATTCTTTAACAGTGCTCATGCCTCCTGAAGGATGTCAGTGCTGCCTGCCAACCACCCCACCTCAATACTGATCTAAGGTGAAGAGCAGGGGTCCTCCTTCCAGATGCACACTTCCTGGACAGAAGATCATTCAGATGCTCTTAGAGCCAAGACCCACGGGTGGCCTCTGTATCGCACCCCAGCCCAAGGCCCGTAACTGTCTTAAAACAGGCAAATGCTTCCTGGCAGCCCTTGGGTAAGCCAAGGTGACGGCACCAGGGATACAGAACCAAATATAGAAAACCGAACTGCTTGCCCAGCCTGTCCCGCAGGGGTTTTCCATTTGCTAATGAGTAAGGAACTTGGCTGTAGACAGGTATGAGAGGAGGGGTGGCGATGACTTCGCCACTCTGTATCTGAGCCCGTGGAGGGAGGGAGGGCAGGTGGCCATCAGGAGTGTCCACTGCTGCCAGTCCCGTCAGCACCTCCATCATGTTAGTCTCCACCCAGTTCACAGGTAGAACAACTGAGGCAGGATGTGAAGCCATTTTGTATGAAGGAGTAATGAGTGGATCTGGGACCCTACCCAACTGTGTGTGATGCTGGTGCCATGCAGACACGTCCAACAGGCACCAAGGCAGGATCACAGAACAGGATACAGGCTGGGGACAGGGGTGCCTGAGACGCAACATGGAACATGACGGGACACTCAAAATCACAGTTAATGAACTGCTTCCCAAGTAGGGCTGTATCACGTCCTACGGTGGCCGATCGGACGTGAAGGGCCCTTGGTTTTACCAGATGCAATGTTCTGGAGATGGGCCCTGAAGAGCACAGGGGCGATGGCTGCGTAACAATGTGCCACAGCGAATACCGCTGAAACGCAGACTTCCAGTGATTAAGAGGGCAGCTCTTGTGTTATGTTTATTATATGTTAAGTTTAAAAACTGGAAAGAAAATGTAAAGAGAAAACTGAAAGCCACAGACTTAAGCCCCCAGTGCTGTGCATGTTTCTCTAAGACCCTCCTCCTCAGTGCCCCTACGCCCCGCAAGTCCTGCAGTGGATCCCACAGGTGGCAGAGAAGGGGTGGCGGGGCCTGGGCCCACCTGCTCTTCGCAGCTCTTGGTGTAATCTGAGGAGTCAAGGTCAGCTTTCTGCTCGCTCCCAGCCTCTTTGGAAGGGAATGTTCCATGTGCAGAGGAGGAAAGGGGGCCGCACTAAGGAGGCCCCCTTGCACACAGCCCCTAGGAGTGTGGGTGGGGCTCCAGACCCGCCCTGGTCCGTGGCCACCCCCACACACTACGGGAGCTGACTCCCAGCGGACGCGGGTCAGGACATCTGACCTCGTCCTGTCATGCAGAGGCGGACAAGCCGCCCGCAGGGCACCGTGACACACAGACAGCATCAATGCAGGAGACTGAAGTAGGTTTCATTTATTCTAGGGCAAACTCAAAAGGGGTTTTTTTTTGTTTTGTTTTCTTTTTTAGCAAATCCTAGCACATTATTAACAAAAAAAATCTGTACATTTGCCATGATACACTTGAAAGTGAAACAAATAAGATATAAATACAGATATGGATGTAACATGAAAAAGCCCAAAAAAAACCCCCAAAAAACAAAACAAAAAACCACCCAACCTGGGGGGTGGGGTGGGGACCATGCCTGTGAATACAGTGCCAACAAAACTGTTTTGGTGGCTGGTATTTTTCAGAGCATTTCTTTTTTCATTTCCAAACGCTGTTAGCAGAGTCCTGGTGGGGTTCTACAAAGTTCTTATATGCTGTCCTTTAAAGTGTTGTATTATGCTTGATAATAAAGGGTGGCAGGGAAAGAAAAAGATGTATGAGACGACATCATCGCATTACCTGTACAGGGTGTGGAAAGCTAGTGGTGAGCATAGAAAAGGCAGGCCGTGGTGGCGCACAGGACACTGGAGCCAGCGCGCTGTGAGGACCAGCTCCCGGGGGAGGTGGCAGCTCAGGGAAGCAGGAAGTTGGAGGAGCCAGCCCCTCAGCATGGGGCAGGGGCGTTGAGGCTCTGGACAGTCAGATGGGGAGGCAAACGCAGTCTTGGATGCTCTGCTCATGTGTCTCGTGGACGGAGCCCTGCAGGGAGGTGGCGGGGCGCGGCAAGGCAGCAGCAGCTGTCGTCCCAAGGGCGGTGGTGGGTGCAGCCGCCCTGCAGTGAGGTGGTGGCGGCATGCAAGTCTACTCGGTGCGGCTGGCAGCAGTTGGCAGATTGAGGCCAAGAGACCTGTGACGTGATTGTGTCTCTCTCTGGTCAGGAGATTGAGGAGGGGGCGAGTGACATTCGTGGCTAGCCCTTTGTGAGTACTGAGAGGACATCAGCAATGTTTGAGAGCCTTCCAGCTGTACTCGGGACCGTGGTGACCTTCTGGGAGCCAAAGGGTCCCAGGGAAGGGTCTTTCTAACTGCACCAGGCGTAAGAGAATTCATAAATATGCTGCTGGGAGGCACATTTTTACCACAAGGGAGATCACAAGACTTTGGAACTCTTGTGTGAAAGAGAAATTCCATTAATACATAAACAAACAAACAAACAGTATTTATCACTGAAAGTAAGGCCTGGTCCTGCTATGTTTTGAGCCTTAGTCAGTCAATAATATTCAGCCACTTAAAATGTACCCCTGAATTTCCCTGAACAGCAGCAGTGGAGCACTTTAGATGTGTGAGATAACCCACCCTGAACCTGAGGCCTTCATTTTTAGTGCTTATTTCTAAATAATAGCATCTGCCTTTCACAAGGTCCCCGCCAAATCTGCAAGGTCAGAGGGGGTAGTGCAATCAGGCTAAGAACTACACGAATGGTGCCCCAGGTCCTGCTTTCAGTTCTAGCAGCTTCTGCCAATCCTGTATCTTGCTAAAATTAATGTCAAAGGCAGCTTTTTCCTTATGGAAGAATCGGTTCAATTAGAGAATCTAAAATAGAATAGCAACAAAAGAAGTCTTCATGATTGCATTGAGAATTGCCATTTGGTTTAGGAATTTTACTCAAAACAATGTGATTCAACTGCAGATCTATAGTTACTTCCTTTGGAGCAATGAGACCCACAAGAGGTTAAAACAAAGGTTTCCCAGGGAAGTGACAGACTCTAAAAGTGCACTGTAAATCTTGCCACTCTGCAATCTGCCACTCGTCATGATTACCTTTCCCTTAAGCTTACAGAATTAAAAGTAATGATTCCAAGGTTGGGGTGCAGCTCAGGGGTAGAGAGCTGGCCTAGCATGCAGAAAGCCATGGGGCCAATCTTTATCATCAAAGAAAGATTTTCATACCTGGTCTCTCTAGACCTTTCTCTGCTCTTCACCCCCAAAGAAAATGGGGATGCCAAAGGTGGAATGGTAAAATCGCTATCTGCCAGATTAAGTGAGCACATTTAAGAAATGAACAGCTCAGGCAAAGCTTGAGGGATGAGAAAAGGTGGCACAGTTTTGAACCACCAACCTGGAAGCTTGGGAGAATCCCCATCACAGCAGTGTTTCCCCAAGATCTCTGCAGGGAAATGGACAGGAAACTTCCCTGACACCTTCTGTGCTCCACAAAAGGCCTTTTTAGGTATCCCTGACTTGCTGTAATTCACCTTACTTTTGTGGTTGGACTTAAACTTGAAAGATTCTTTTGAACAGCAGCTCCAGGGTGGGGAGCTGTCTAGGAAGCTGCTGGAGGGGCTGGGAGGAGACAAGGGCAATCCCGGCTGTGCGGAGAGCCAGGGCAAGCAGCTCCAGTCATACAGGACGGGCAATGTGATGGGCTAGCTTCAGGCTCTCCTCCTCTTCTTGCCGCGATTTGAGCTCCACGCTTGCTAGGTCTCAAAACACAAACTAAGGGCACATGACCTTTCTCAGTGTTGGCTCGGAAAAGGGTGGGCTCTGCCCCACATGGGCCATGCTCCTAAGAAGATAAGCTAAGAATGAGGGACACAAAAGGGACCCCACCCCCAAACCTGTTATTAACTGAAACAAAATGCTACTGTCTACCACGTACGGCTAAAGAGCTGTGGGTTTGGGGAAAGAGCTCCGCCCCTCACACGGCTGTGTGATCTCAGAGGTGGTATGAGACATGTAATATGGCTCTGTTTGTTTCTCATTCCTTTTGTTTCTACGAAGACTGGATATAGGCCTTGCTTCCGTTACATTCAATACCAGTAAGATTCTACACAAAAGCTGGAAGGGACCAAAATACTGATTGTAATAAATATGTGCGGGCCTCCTTGTACTGACAGGGCAGCTGATGGGGGGTCTCCGGGGCACCACCGGTCGAAAGTGGTCTGCAGAGACAGGCGCTGCCACTAGCTGTGCGTGGACACGTCAGAGGAGGAGCTGCTGTTGCTGTTGGTGGTCTGGGCCCGCTTTATGTATAAGTTTAGCAGCTTCATCTGCAGGGAAGACACAAATGAGTCAGCAGGAGGAAAGCAATCAGTAGCATACAAGAAAACTGTGTGACAGTCAGAAAATTGCTTGTCCCCTAATTCCCTGGTGGGAACTCATTATACAAACATGAGGACCACAAGTGGAGGAGGTGGCCAGGTTCTAGAAGACAGAAAAACAGTTGGTTGTTATAAAAGAACAGTGTCACAACACCATAACACAGCTTCAGGTCACAGGGGCTGCTGGAGAAAGGTGCCCCAGGGGCAGGACTGCCCATCACCAAGACAGCCCAGCGGCTCCATGGGAGCTGAGCGAGTGGGAAGAGGGGCACAAAGTGCCGGGCCACGCCTGCTGAGCCCAGGCTGTGCCGATACCCTCCCTTCTCCCAGCACCCTTTCTGCGTTGCGAAACTGCCTGATACCGCAGGTCCTCAGATCTACCTCATCGCAAAGCCCCTCCTGAAGAGAATCCAGCTAGGAACAATTCCTTCCCACCTGTGGCTCTGGTCTTTCACCTGGACTCAGCATGTGTGTCCTCATACTATGGTTAGTGAAGTCTTTCTTGTCCCCTTCCACAAGATTAGGTCTCCTGGAGGCCAGACAGTTACCAAGTAATACTAATGCAGCCTGACATCATGCCGGTGATGCTGCAGGTTTTTATCAAATATTAGCTGAATGCCACTAAGCTAATCTAATACTTACAGAAGCAGAATGTCCATAAAAATCTAAGTAACAGACAACTTGTAAGATCACAGGAATTATGAAAAACTTGTTGTCCGTAGCCCTTTGGTCTCTAGCGGACCGCTGAAGACACACTCAGGGTGATGTGCAGGCTGCAGGAAGAAGCAGGGCTTTGCACCAGCCACAGGAAGCGAGGCAGGCAAGTGTTTGGACACTGCCACTCACCCTGAGGGCTGTCTGTGGATGTGACGCCATGTGCTGTCTCAGGTACTCGTGCTGTGTCTGCACAGGGACCGGGGCCCCGGGCTGCGCTGCGCCTTGCCATACAGACGGAGTCTGCAGCAGGTGTCGCTCGGCAGTCCAGCCCGGCTGTCTTCCCATGGCAGCCTATGGCGGCATCTTTCTCTTTCAACCACAGCAGGGCACCTCATGTTAACTGCATGGCATCCCACAGTTACCTTTTGGTCTTTGATTTTCTGTGGTGGTGGGGATGGAACCCAGCTTAGCATGTACCTACCACCAAACAACGGCCCTCACCTCAGCCCCACCCTTCCTTGCCTGTCAGAATTGTAAACATATACTAGAGTGGGCAGAGCTATGTTGATGAGAGCCATCATTCACACAAGGACTTTACACCTAGGGCTCAGTAGTCCAGTAAAGTTCAAGATCCAATTCCACCATTAATAGTTGTTTGACTTCTGGCAAATCACTCTCTGAGCCTCAGCTTTTACTACCTTAGGATGTTTCTAAAGTGCCTTCTGTAATCCCCTCTTCAGATACGGCGTTCCCTACAAATCCTTCTAACTCCAACCTGGCGCTCCCCACGGGACGCAAACCACTGGCCCATCCTGTGAAGCCAGCTAAGCGGCTCTTCTCTGTTGCTCTAGCGGCCAGTAAGTCTGCCCTCAGGGCCCGACTTGCTGCGTCTACCCTGGCTGCAATGCACATCTCCTCATTTACCAAGCCTGTTGCCCAGCTGCACTTTCTGCTAACTCACGATACAGGCTTTGCTTCTCCTGCATGCCCAGTGTAGGGTGGTATGGACAGTGGTTCCTAACACATATTTGCAGAATCAGTGAAGGAAAAAACGATCTAGGAGACAAGACAGTTCTATTTCTACAAAAGGCTGGATAAAAATGAGTTGCTAAACATTCTTTATTGTCTTTATTTTCAACTGAAAGCTGCAAATTTCTCTCTCTAGTCAAGAATATAATTACAACTAGGCATGGCGGCACATGCCTAGCTACTCAGGAGGCTAAGGCATGAGGATCACTAACTTTTGAGAGCAGCCTGGCAACTTAGTGAGACTCTGCCTCAAAATAAAAAATTTTAAAGAATGAACGGGGATGTGGCTCAGTGGTAGAGTACCTGCCTAGCATGCACCAGGCCTTGTATCCAATCTCCAGCACTGCAAATAAACCAACATAATTACAAGTATGAGGAAAAGATGATGACAGAATTAATTACAGGTGTATGTTCAATGATTTACAAGGAACTTTCACACTATCATATATGAGCCTCACAGAAATCCTCTCATGTAGGGAGAAAAGATCCTCTTTTGTTTAGGAAAAAAAAAAGGTTCACAAAGCATGCTCAATAAGCTGGAATAGATTTAAGTTAGTGTCATACCTTTCGGCTATTGAATGTAATCCTCATAGCAAAAAAGAAAATAGCTACAGAATATACCAAGAAGAAATGAGAAGAGACTTAAAATGTTTCACTAAAAAAAGCAAACAAATGCAAAGATAGCAGTGTAGGAAAGGAGGGGCAAGCAGCAAATGACAGCAGTTCCTCCTTGTCAGTAACTACTTTCAGTGTAAACCAGTTAAGTAGGCCACTCAAGACACACTGGCCGAATGGGTAAAAAACATAATCTAGCTATTTGCCGTCTGTAAGACTCACTTGAGATCCAGAGACAGACTGAAAAATGAAAGGATAGAAAAAGATAGTTTCTATGCAAAAAGTAGTAAAGCAAGGATCAGAACAAATACTTTAAATGAAGAAAGGTTGTAAGAGGTAAGGATATCATGTATCAATAAAAGGTATCAAATAAGACTTAACAATTCTATATTTTATGTGTCTAATAACAGATCTTCTAACTATGTGTCTAATAACAGATCTTCTAACTATGTAAAACAGAATTCGATGGAACCCAGGGGAGGAATGGTTCCATAGTAACAGCTGTAGACTTTGATGCCTCACTCCCAGCCAAGGGTGGAACAGCAGGACAGAGCTCAGTGACACCATAAACTACTAGGCCCACAGGCACATCTACAACACTCCCCACCTAACAGCAAATGCATCCTTCTTCAGTGTGCACGTGGCATTCTTCAGCACAGGTCACAAAGTGAGTCCGAGCAGATTAAAAAGGAGGTATCATACAAAGTGTCTCCTCCAACCACAACAGGATGAAGTCAGAAACTGATAACAAAAGGAAAACTACAGAATTCACAGATCTGTAGAAATTAAATAATAGATTTTTCCTAAAAGCCAATGCATCAAGAAGAAACCACCAAGTTAGACAGTACCTTGAGACAAATGACAATGAAAGTACATTTAAAAACTTTTGGACAAGGGAACTGACAGCTATAAATGCTTGTGTGAATAAAAAACACAATATCTTACACCAGCAACCTAACTTTGTCCTTTAGGGAAATAGAAAAGAACAACTAAACCAAAGCCACGCATTTAGAAAATCATATAGGTAGTGCAGACATAAAGGAAAACAAAAACAGAAAAAAAAAAAAAAAACAAGAATCAAAGAATGGGTTCTTTGACAAGATCAACAAAACTGACAAATCTTTAGCTTGCTGGACTAAGAAAAACAGGACAGACTTGGCTTCTAAACACTTATCCACACCGCCTCACTGCTCCTTCCAACCTTCCTGCCTGTGCCTCTCCATCCAGAACCCTGGGCACAAGGGTCTGGATGTGATCCTCCCTAAATGTGTCACAGGAGGAGCTCACTTTGCAAAGACAGGGCCTTTTCACTGGCCGGTTCCTCCTCTCCCAAGAAGCAGGGCCAGGTGCTTCTGTCTCCTTGCTTTCCACTGGCCTCATTCCATGCAGCAAGTTGCATCCACATCTCTGCAGGGATCTTTAAACTCAGCTGATACACAGTATTTCCTAGAGTGGGCTCCTCACTGTCAGCGCCCGGCCAGCCTCCCCTCTGGAGTCCACCACCGCGTCGGTGTTTCTATCTGCTCTTCACTGGGTCTGGCACACTAGATCTGGGTTGTCTTTTCACAGAAATTTTTAGACCAAAGAGCACTCAAGCCACGCCTGTCTTCAATAAGGCTATAACCCTTTTGGTACATTTTCTTCCTTTGATTCTAGAACACGATGGAGCATGAGAGGGTTCTGGAGTCTGACCTCTGTTGTGTCCTTGGGCAGGCAAAGGAGATGACCATGCTTACCCCTCAGGAGTTAGGAACACAACACATGCCAGGCACACGCTACAATGTTTGGGGCGCTATGGGCCAGTTTATGAGCCACTGTCACTGTCACTACTTTTCACTACTGTGAAAAGTTGTTTGTGAGTAGTGACAAGGGATACAGCTTTGATTCTGCAATTTGTTAACCACTTAGGTAAATTTCCTTAGTGTTTCTGCAAGAAAATAAGCTGGTTTCTAAACAAAGTTGTCCTTCTTTTGTGAATAAACTGGAAGCCAAGTTTTCTTTTCAAAAACAGGAGTTAAAGTAGACTATGATGTCAGAGTCACCTTAAACTAAAATGACTTCACTAGCTGGTCATTTTCATTGTAGAAAAACGCCTTTTGAGAAATAATGCCTGGCTGAAACACATCTGATGAGAAAAAAGCCTGTCTGGAGCCCAGGGCTGCCGCCAAGCAGGTTCACGACCAGCTGGCAGGGTCGGGTGTGGGCATCAGCCCGTAACTCTATACATACCTTGCTCCCCGTGAGCTGTGCGAGGTGAGGTTTCAGATCTTCTCCGATTACGGAATAAATTGCCACTAAGCAAAACACGCTGGCCTTACGCACACTGCTTTCAGTGTTGTCATAACCCTGGAGAGCCAGAGGGGAGCATGGAAGAAAATCAGATCAAAGACTCACCTTACAGTATTTCAACAACACTTCCACAGATGCCCTCGCAGTTCAGCGCTGGGCTTGTCAGTAACAACCAGGATATACCTCAGACCTGCAGCCGAACTCTTGAGAGTTTTCACCCCAGGGGTCAGCACTGCCTACTGTCAAGATTGGCCTGCTGCCTGGGGTGCGGAGGCAGGCGGCAGGCTAGTGCCAGCAGACCTGCCTTTACACGGCATTGCTATGTGACCTGATGTCACCTACAGACATCTTGAGAGACAGAGAACGAGGAAAGGAAATTGGGGGTGGGACTTGCTTCTTTTACAGTTTACCTGGTGGTTAAAGCAAATTTCACATGCGAGAATGCCGTTAAAGAAATGAGAATTATATCACTCACTCTGGCGGGTACAGCCCTCCATCCTCCAGTGACTGCTGGGACCCTACCTATCCTCTGCCACCGAGCCCCAACCTACTGTAAGCCTCATCTCCACCTCACAGCCAAATGGGGCCACTCGCTGCTCTCCTAACAGCTCTGTGACTTTCCCACCTTCATGCCTTTTCCTCTGTCTGCAGCAATCCAGTTCTCAATAGTCCCCAGTCAAGTGCTCAGCAAACGGCAGCATTTGTTTAAGTGGAGAGCAGATTCCTTGACCTTTCTCCAGTGAAAGCCCTCTCTTGCCAGAGATGGTGATGCATACATGTAAGCCCAGCACTCAGGAGGCTGAGGCAAGAGGATAGCAAGTTCAAGGCCAGTCTGAGCTACATAGTAAGATCCTCTCTCAAAAAACCAAACCAAACCAAAAAAACCTTTTTCTCTTTCTTACTCCAACCTGGAAGCCACCGCTCTACATGATGCAGCACATGGCACTGTCACCTGTAGTTACCATGTGGCTGCACCAAGTCCAAGGGTAGGCTGGAAAACCCCTGCCGTGCTGCCACATGGTGGAACACATCTCTGATCTCCAAGAGTGTGTTAGCTCATCACCTCATGTGCAGAAGAGTTCTGGGAGAGCAAGAGCCTTGTCCGATTCACCACTGCATGGCCCATGCTGCCCAGGACCAGGACCACAGGAGGTACGCAATAGGGGTTTGTTGAAGGAATGAACAAAAAGAAATGACCAAAACATGTTGACAGTCAACACAAATTCCACTCTGAGCCATAGCTCTGGGCTGCCAGTGGGAATGGGTGGGGGAGAAAAGGCAGGTTCTGGCATATGGACTGCTGCCTGCAAATTCCCACACTCTTGCACTGATGGAGGCCAGCAGAGCCCCATGAGACTCCGAGAGGAGCAACCCTTGGGGAACGACGCCTACCTGCAGCAAGCCAGGGATGATGTCGGCGAGGAGCTGCAGCAAGGAGTCCTTGGCGATCCTCTCCACAACTTTGGTCTGCATCTTGATGGCGGCGAGGTTGATGGGGTAGTCGGCTGTCTGGATGATGGGACAGAGCACTTTGATGCACTGCTCTGGGTGGATGGAACTGGCCAGTGTGGATGCAGCCTCCTCAGCAGCTCTCACCACCTGAAACACCCAGTTTCCCAGAGTGAGCAAGACCAAACTCAGCTGCCTCATTAACACAATGCTGGCTTGCAGCATCACCTCCTCCGGCCAGTGTAGAGGAAAGTAAAGGCAAAGTGCTTTGGGGGTCATTTCAGAGGAGCGAGTGGGCCTGGGGAACATGGCAAAAGCCTGGCTGTGTGACCTTCAAGGACAGCTCTGGCAGCAGCCACCTGGGACCTTGTACGCAGTGCAGCTTCTCAGTGCACCCCCGACCTGCAGGCACAGAGGGGCCCTGATCAGAGGTGGGGTCCAGTAAGCTGTGTTAGGAAGTCCTTGGGATGAGTCTTCACAGTAACACTGGGGAATCTCTGCCCCAGAAAACTGGCACCTGGAAATAATGCTTCCAAGGGCTTGTGGAAAGCCCACCGTGGAGGCACTGGAGAGAAGTCTGGGAGAGTCAGAATGCCTTCCACAACTCCTGATGATTCCTAACAGGGGCCATGCTGCAAAGCAGCTGGGCAGGCTCAGGAAGAAGCTTCTGGAAGTGTCTTCCTGGAGAGTAACTGTGAAAAGTTGTTTTTCTAGGGATTTGTGCCACAATGGCTCCTCACTGTGCTTGTATAAAGAAGTGCAGGAAATGGCTGCCTCATAGCCAAAGGTCCTCCACAGAGCCAGAGAGGACCCTCTTGTCGTAATGGAGGCAGCTAAGCACAAAACCCAGCAAGGAAAGGAGAGCGGGCAGAGGTGTGCTACCAGTTTTGAGTTTAGGGAGTTGGATGAGGATCTTGGTACCCTGTTTCCTCATCTCTAAAATGGGGCTCCTTACAGAGATGGATGCTGAGGAGTAATCAAGACAGGGCAGAAGCTTGGTGAAAAGTACTTCCTACTCTTAACACAAGAGCACATATACCGTATGTGATATATAAGTAAAGATACTGGCTATACACAGGTATGCATTTTCTTCTGAAGCACAGTGAAAATCGAACATGTTTCCCCAGGGCCAGCCCTGCTCCAGGTAGGCAGTCCACCCAGATTCCCCACTGTGTTGTATTCTGCAGTTGGAATAACTCAGCCCCTACCTTCAAGTAGCACTGAGATGGAGGCAATGCTGAAGCCAACCTCAGGCTTTGGTCATCCCAGCCCTGTGATGTAAGCAAAGATGGAGCCTGAAACTTGTATAGGGACCAGTTGGAAAGCTGCTTCTGTTCTGGGCCAGAACGGGCCAAAGCCATCCGTGCACACGCACCAGGAAGGCTCCTGAGAAGTCCTACCTACCTGGTGCTACCATCCAGGCAATTAGAACAGCTCCTAGCCATGGGCCTAGGCTCTATCCTTTGTCACAATCTCTAAAACACCAACCTGTAGCATGGACCTTTGGTCTTCAGAAGCCTGGCTCCTTCCTTGCCCTGCCCACACCCTGCTTCCCTCATGTTTTCTCCCATCCGCACCCTATGGGTCTTCAGGCCTCATCACCACAGAAACCCCAGGAAGCCTGCGTGCACATCTCACCACTGTCAGTATCTTCTGAGACTGCCCCTCCCAGGAGATGAAAAATTTTTTTTTTTTTTTTTTTTTTTTGGTTTTTTCTCCGGTACCGGGAACCGAACTCACGACCTTGCGCTTGCCAGGCAGGCGCTTTTTGCCGCTGAGCTAAATCCCCAGCCCCGGAGATGAAAAATTCTGAGGCACAGTATCTCTCCTCAGCTCTCTCTCAGGCCAGAGACCCATCTCCAGTATCCACCAGGTACTCAGTAAATGTCTGTCAGTCTCTTTCCTTCATAGTGTGATGCTTCCTGAGTAGTGTGAAAGTCACCCTTGGTACAGCCCACACCGACCTGCATTTATGTTTCCCAACTAAGGAGCTAGCAGAAAAAATGTGGAAGGCAAGACATCTACAAGTGACCAACTTGGGCTCTGGGACAAGCAACTGCACAAGGCTCAGTGTCCCATTCTAGGTGATACACTGGCTCTTTGGAGGAGAGACCTCCTCAGGTTGAAGAGGGGTGGCATGTTTCTCAGGACAGCTCCATCAGGTAGCTACCTCAGTCCACATGGGTCCCCAAGGCTGGTCTAAGTCCACAGCGTCCTTGGGAGAGTCAAGCAGATAGTGGCAAGTGCAAGGGGAGACATTCCCTCTTTTCTAATGTGGTCCAGCCATGAGTCAGCGCTCTGAAGCCACTGGCTTTTGGCCATAAGAAATCACTATGTGTAAGCATTATAGCAAACTGGTCAGAAAGCTGAGGACTTCTGACGTTTAGCTATTATACTTGGCTGAAAATATGAAAGGGTAAGAAAACACTACCTGATGTGGTTGGTATGTTTAAGTGAGAGCACACTGATATATAGGACTTGATGTTTAAGATCCTACTAGGGTTAAAAGAACAGGGAATTTAGAGATGGAGAATGTGAGCCCCAGCAGTGTTGTTTTCATTATGAAGGAAGTGAGCTAACAGCCTCCTGGTACCCCTCGGGGATCTAAAGGGGTAACGAGAGGAGGCAATCCACTGCCAGGTTTGTGCTTTCTTCCTCTCCTTCCCATCTCCAATGCTCTACTGCTGCTCAATTTCAAGTGAATTACCTACAGTGAGACTGTTTCAGATCTGCTGAGCTGAACCCCAAATCCAAGGAGAACTTTTTAGGAAACTCCAGGTATCCTAAAGAGGGCCTATACAAAGCACTTCCTGAAGTATTTCTGAGATATGTGTGTGTGTGTGTGTGTGTGTGTGTGTGTGTGTGTAAGGTGTAGGGACCTGCACATCCAGATGAGTGCACCTCTCTTTTACTGGGGTGAGAGCAAGTTTCCCAAGACAAGCCGTGGTTTTGGCAATGCTGGTAAGTGTTCTCAACTTCCCTCCATGTGCCAAGACCCTGGTTTGGCGAGCTGCCTACACCAGGTTGAACTTTAGGTTCTGCCCTGTGTTCTATGTAACATAAGAGGCAAAGACTATAAATGTAAGCAAACAAGGAGCAAAAGTAAACATGGGCAACAGAAGGAGGACGATACTGTTCAGTAGGCAAGGTGGCCGGAGGTGGGAAGGAGTTTTCTAGAGGCGATGAGGGGGACTATGTTCAAACAGGAGCAAGTAGACTTCTGGGTTGTAATCTGCTCTGAAGTTACCAAATTCTGTTCTAATTCTGCTCATTTTGCTATCATCTGGTTAGAAACAGGAATTCTTCCCTTTCAAAGTTAGTGAGATAATGTCTAGCTAAGAAAAGCCTAATTTTCACATGAAGCTTTTTAAGAAAATGGGATTGCCACTCAGAATACTGATGAATGTTTGCTTAAAGATAAGGTTTCTTTAAGAGCACAAAGTTCTCAGCATTTGGACTGCATGTTTTAAGTTCATAAAGTTTGATTTGGCTCTGTTTTAGACACATCAGAACAAATGGCTGAGTTAAAAAAAACAAATCCAAAACAAAACAGCAAACATCCAAAAACAACAATGGCTGGAATCAAAGAACTCTTCGCAGAAGGGCATCTGGAGTTTAGCTTATAGACCACTGGGAAGCTAAGAGGGTGTCATCTTCTGGAATTGGCTAGAAAGACAAATATATGAGGATCCTGATTCTTGGACAATGAAGGGAAAAGACCAGTGCCCAGAGAGGCACTGACAGACACCTTGGGTGTTACGGTGGAGAGCCAGCATGAGCCTGAACCCCAGTATCCCTTTAGCTGGGCTCAGTACCAGAGGGAAGAGAGAGAAAAAGCTCCAGGCTGTCTGGTTCTTCCCTCAACTAGCCAGCCAATTGTAGGGAAATGTCTCCCACTTTCCAGGATTCAGCTTTCCTCATCAGTAAAATCAAAGGAAGAAACTGAACAGAGAACTTAAAACTACTGTGGATTCTAAAATCTTATCACCCACCTCTACACAATGGGTATCCCTCCCCGCACATGCACACATGTAAGACAAGGGCCTCCAAGACATGAAGAGGAGTAGCATCTGAATGAAACCATCTCTAACCACATGGTCACCCAGCCTTGCCTAGAACAGCAGATGCAGGGTAACACAGGATGCATCTTCAAATGTGGCAAGGCCTACCCTTGTCCCACTGCCCCAGGGAAAACTGAGGCCAACAGGGGGAAACAGTGAGAGCTGGACGAGGGGCTGGGCCATTTGAGAGGTGCTTTGCACTGGATAGGAAGCCGGGTAGCACAAATGTGGCCTCCCCTCTGCCTCCAAAAACCCGCTGTGCTCTAGCCTCACAATGACAATGGACAGGTTCAAACCAAGCTGTAGTCCAAAGATACAAAGTGTATGTTTACTTGGAGTTTTAGAGCTTGTTTAATTGAATTTAAACAGCCTCTTAGGCATACTTAGAGTAACGCAATTATATCTGCTTTGTGCAAAATTAAAAAAAAAAAACTTTCACAACAATTCTATTCAAAATCAGTCTGCTGTCTTCCACAGAAGAGGGTAAAAAGGACTGTCTCTTCAATTTGCAACAGTGCCAGCTCCTGGGCTTACCCAGCTTTAACGTCAGCTAGGTGTATGTTATCTCCCTCTTGCCAGACACAGCACAAGCGCTGCAGACATCCACAGAGAGTGCCAGTGACTTGTCCACAGCCACACAGTCACAGAGCTGGCAGTGGTGCTACATAAATTCCAAACCTGAAGGTTCTACATTGAATAATGGCCCTTTCTGAAGCTAACAGAGCAGGTGGTGCCATGAGACACATTGACTCCCAGGAGGGTCACTTCACACAAGAGTAATCACTGTCCCCAGCCCCAAACAGCAGCAATGGGTGTAACACCATTCAGAACTGGACACTGGGGTGGCTCAACCCAGATGTGTCTTCCCGTCCACCCTCCATGGGCTGCCAGCTGGTGCTCAGTTCACACTGCTTCCTCTTCTCACAGGTCTTCCCTTGGCCACCCTTCCCACAGTTCAAGTGCACCCTGGACTTCTGGAGCCTCGATCTGAGCCACATACTCATTGTGCGGCAATGTGCTAGGTGACCCACCTTTAGCTCCTGCCCTGATGCAGTCACAAAGCACTGACCAGTGTCACACTCTTGGCTCAGCCACTTGGGACCACTCAATGAAGCTATCTGCGTTTCTGGTTTTGCACACTTAATGACAAGCAAAAACTTCCTGAGGAAATAGAACTTCTGGCCAAATCCCAGGCCTGGGCATATGGAAAACGAGATTTAGAACTAATGAGGATTTAGGTTTGCTACTCTATAGCAACTTCTATTATCTTGAAGCTCCTTGAGATACAGATAAGCTCGTAGTCTACCCCAGGGCTAACAGGTAGGAAAAACAACGTCTGCAGAGGGGGTGTAAGTCTGTCAGGTCCCTTTGATGCATTGTTTTCCAGATCCACTGACACTCATGGACGCTGCCCTGAGAGGTGGCCTTAGCATAGGAACCTGGCTAAGACGATGTCAGCCTAGGATTTAACTGGTATTTGCAGCAGAACAAGAGCTCAACAGCATACCTTCTCTGGCACACTGCTACTTTTCTCTAGCCACAGCATCTGTCAAGACTGCGTAACATACCCCACTGCCTGGGCAAAGCTGGAGAGCTAGTCTCAGCAAGCTCTATTTCCTTTTTAAAGTAACTTTGGTCTCTGATAACTTTACTGTCTTGGAGTTAGTATAAAGTCTAACTGAAAATGATTTTAAAATAAAATCCCTGGAGATATAATAATGATTCTTTTATACTTATCCTGAAGCAAGATCCCGATGTTTTAAATACTAAGACTTCTGTATATAGCAAGAAATGATTGGTGGTTCAGTACAGTAACATGAAATTTCCTTATTTTATTTTTTTTTATGGGTCAGGGTCTTATTATATTGCTCAGGCTCATCTTAAATTCCTGGGTTCAAGCAATCTTCCTGCTTCAGCTTTCCAAGTAGCTGGGACTATAGGTACATGACATCACACTTCGCTAATATTCCTCATTTCTGGGCAGGATGTAAGCGAATATTCACTGATGTGGCAAAATTCAGAAAAAGCTACATCTAGTGATGGAAAATTCTCATTTATGGAATATCTTCAAGAAATACAGCTGGGCAGGACTTAGTGGCTCACACATCTAAACCCAGCACTCTGGGAGGCTAAGGCAGAAGGACTACAAGTTTGAGCCCAGCTTGGGTAACTTAGCAAGCGCAAGATCCTGAGTTCGATTCCTGAAACAAAAAAAAAGAAAAAAGAAAAAAAAGGGGGACTGGAAATGCAGCTCAGTGCAAAGATCCTGGGTTCAGTTCCCATTCCTGAAAAAGAATTGGTACCTCTTTCAAATTAAAGACAGCATGTAGTGAGACCTAGTATCACGTAAGACATGTCTAGGAGCAACAACTATTCTTGCATGATTTGTAACTAGAATATAAGTTTTTGCTAAGAGATGGACACTTCTCAAATGGATAAGGGTGCTTGAGAACAGTTTTATGCAGCAGTGTTAGTATGGCCGATGACAGTTTAAAAGCCTATTTCAGGCTGGGGTGTAGGTCAGTGCTAGAACACCTGCCTAGCACGTGAGAGGTCCCTGGGTCCAATCCCTAGCCGTGCCACTCTCTCCTCCGCAGAAGCTTACCATACATCCTTATACCTATACAGGACCATAGAGAAATGACGGCCACTGAAAATAGAGGTGGAGAGTCACAGACGCGGGACCGCGCTCCAGGTTTTCTGCTTCCAGATTCATACCCCACATTGGCCCAGAAATTCCTTCTTACAGTACAAATTCTTTCACTAAATCTTTCTTTAATCACGAAAGGAGTGGTTTTCAACAGACTATAAATTCTAAAATGGGAAGAGTTCAAACTAACAGAGTTAATCTTAAAAACAGAAAAAAGGCTCCAGGTTTAAAGGTCACTATCAAATCCCAGCCATTTAAGGCATTTGCTGAACCCAAAAACCCCTATAAACAAGAGCAACTTCATTAATGTTAAGGGCACTGAAACTAATAGCAGGATTTATTTAATAAAATGATAAAAATGGAGGCAGGTAATGGGAGAGCTTTGCTTATTCAGATAGGGACTGTGAAAAGCTTACATCTAAGCTGAAAAACACCAACTTTTAAAATAAAAGCTCTGAACCAGTATCCAAACCCTCTACCTGTCATGCTCACCACAGAAGGTCTGTTGGCTTGGGATGGACAGTGCAGAGACAGATTTGGTGCCTGGGACACTTTCAGCGTGTAAGAAAAATGCCCCACACATAGCTTCTTTTGGAAGAACCTGAGAAGCAGACCCTTGCCTACAGCATGAGAGAACAAGCCACCTTGTCGTCATCCCTACCTTATCTGTTTTGTCTAACAGCTTTTATGACACGTTTTCATTTTCTAGAAGCTGTCCACAGGGCTGCCATTCTGAAGCTAGTGCAGTACCCACCGTGGTCGAGCTGGCTGGGCAGGGTGAAGGTGGGGTGTCAGTGCCGGGGTCTCTCACAGCAGCCCAGTGTGAACTTGCTGCTTCTCCCTCTCTTCATCTGGGCTGAAGCCTGGGTTCACAGGGAATGGACAGCCACTAACTTCTTCTGAGAAGGAAGTTCCTAAAGAGTTCACTCTGGGATGAACACACTTGGGAAGTTTTAATCAGATAGGAAAATAGGTTATGCCTCTGTGTGACTGACAGAGCAACTGGGCCTAGAAGAATTTTGGATCCTTCCTAATACGTGTTTGGAGTCATACATATGTATGTGGTGAAGAGAACTGTAAGGAGACCAGAGAAAAATTATGTGCAATATTAATATGCCAGCAAGATGGCTACCACACAGCTTCTGTGCATCTAACTACCCTAAGAATCAGAAACCAGGAACAGAGAAGATGAAAAAGACTCCAGGCATTTTAAAGGAAAAGGAAAAGAAAAATGAAAACCAAACCCAAAACCTAAACATGCAGGTGCTCGAGTAGCTCTGGCAACATGACAGAGTGAAGTTTCATGAGGAAATGGGGAGGGCCCGGGTCAAGGTGAGCCGAAGGCATGGGAGCAGGCACGGCCTGACAACGCGGCGTCCTGCAGAGTGCATCCCTGGCATGGCTGTGCCGTGCGCTGATGCAGCTCCATTTTCAGGAACAGAGTTAGGGGAATGCTGCTAAGTACATTCAAGACAGGACATTGTCTGCTCTTTCCTGGGGCAATTTAAGGGAAGCTCACAGTGAAGAACTTACTCTCCTAGATTTCTCATTTTGAGGCAAACCCCCCAGAGAACAGTAAATAGCAAAGAGAAGATTTAAATCTGCTAAACTTGTATTTCTTAAAACTTTCAAAGTTTTCTTTGAAAATGGGGTATCCCCTAAAGACAGACATCTCCCAGTTGGACAGTCAGTAACTGCCAAAACATTATTGCTGGGTTAGAACTTTATTTTTTACTTTTCTGGATCTTTGAGACATGCTCTTGCTATGCAGTTCAGGCTGGCCTCAAACTCAACGTGATCCTCCTACCTCAGTCTCCTGAGTGCTGGGACTACTGGTGTGTGCCACCACACCTAGCTACAGTTTCACTAAAGGTGGCCCGTTTCTAAGCATGTCCCTTTACCGGTGATCATGCGCTATTATCAAGGTTAAAAAAGAAAACAAAACAAAACAGCACAGGGCAGCTGTTCTGTACGAGAATCACAAGACCTAGTTCAGACTTCTGTTCTGTCAGTAATTGCTGGGCATAGTTTCTTCTAGGACCCTTCTTCCACACCGAGGAACACCAATGTTGATCATGTTAGCTTACCTAGGCCTCACATTTTTAAAGTGAGTTGCTGTAAATGGAAAAGTGTTTTGTTCAAATGTGAGTGGTCATCATCACCATGGAATCATTTGGAGACACTAGCTGGAAATCACATCTATCACCTATATCCTTGGTGCTATTCTAGGGCCAGTAGGTAGAGAGATGCCCAGGCAGAGGATGTGGCACTGCCTCTGTTGACTGACTTGGGTGGTGATTTGAAGAGGTCAAAGCAGCTGTTTAAGCAGTCACACAACTACCAAAAGGAAAAACTATCATTTGGGGTCTCATTCTGCTTGTAGATATCAGAACTATTCTAGCCACAAGACCCTCAATCCATGAGCATGCTCAGATGTAGTCACGAGACAAGAGATTGAACTGTGCAAGTGGCTACCTCTCAGTGGGGTCACCTCCATTGTCTATAATCTCAAGTTTTCGAAACTCCTAAATAAGCAGTTCTGTTTTCCACAATGCTTGCTACGAAGTCATATGTTCAGGACAGCACTCCACTCTCTGTAGGCCTCTATCACTCTAAGGACTGGTGAGCAACAAGGTCCAAACACATAAGCGCAAGCAGGCCAGGTGTGTGCCGAGTGTCTTTGACTGCAGCATGCAGTAAGGCTGGGCTCAGAACCTTGGAACCTCAGGGATACCTGTTGGCATCTTCAGTGTGCAGCTGCGAATCAGTTTAAGAGCAATAAAACTTTACTCTGTGTGAAAGGCTGAGTTCCAGGAAAGGGTATACGCCTCCCAGCTCCCAGTCCAATTCCTCAACCTTCCTTGCATCCCTGGCCCCATCTGTTCAGCACCCTGGCCGCAGGTCTGGCTCACCTCCTTGTGGGAGTCTTTGTGGGCTTCCAGCGTCTTCATGATCGTTAGCTCCGCGTAGTTTTTGAATCTTGCTGGCTGGTTTCTCAGAATTTCCCGTAGAACTCTCAGTGCCAGGGCTCGAATAGAATGCTGGGTGCAAGAGGAAAGGCAGCCTCACTGAAGTGAATACAGCACATGACCACACACACAGACCAGCACCCAGTCTAGGCTCCCTGGAGCCTCACAGACCCTGCTATACCAATCGCAGGGTTTACTTGACATGGGATCTCTACAGTCAGTTCTCAGAGGACAAACACTGTGTTGTATGTACAGTGACACTCCCAAGACCCAGCACCTAGGAGGGACTAACGAAGACTTCCTGAATGAGCCCAGCACTTGAGACCTGAAGAAGATGACACACCTAAGTTCACTATCAGTTCCCTGGGGGTTCTAGATTTCCTGAGGCTTGGGTATTCAGACTACCTTTCTGTAAAAGGCCCTGAACTACAAGCCCAAAGCACCTCGCCATTTCGCGGGCAGCATCTAGAAGGCTGTGAACTCTGGGAAGAGCAGATCTGCTGGTGTTCCTGGCCTCATGTGATGAGGTCACTGGTACAACAGGTCTCGAGCTGTGCATGGCCAAGTCACATGTCTGGAAGAAAGCCATCCCAAACGGACGCCTAATCTCCAGAAAAGAGAATGGAGTTTACCCCAAACACAGCCCACAAGTACATCCTGATTCTCTGTCACTCATCTGCACAATGTGCACACTGATGCACGATTCACCTGCCCTCCGCATGACATCATTTTGTCTCTCAAAAGAGGCCAGCCAAGTAGGACTGCTTCTGCTTCCACAGCCAATACTTTAAGAAAGGTTAATACAGATCTTTTATTACCATTCTTCTATTTTTATTTATTGCCAAATCAAACCAGCAATCCTAAGCATCAGAAAACAACCTGAGTTGCCATGGCACTTGCCATCCTGCCCTCCCCTGCCACCTGCCATCAGTTACCGCCACAGTGCCCTGGCATGGCCTGTGGCCTGCACTGTGTCCCGTCCTGGCAGCCCTCCAGTTCTACTGCCTTGGTCCTCACCATGCGCATATCAGTATTGTCTCTGTGACCCTATACAAAACCGCTGCAGAGAGATGGGTTTCTACTCCCTAAGTTAATGCTGGCAGTTCCCAGCATTTATCCCAGTCTCCATTAAGGCCCCGGCCCCACAGACGGGAGAAGGCAGGGCTTTCCCTACGTTACTCTTCTCTGAGTTACCCATCTACTACTTAGTAGTAGTAGTTACCCATCTACTACTTAGTAGATGGGTAACTCAGAGAAGAGGCACATGGGGTCCCAGACCAGGCACATCACCAATGCCTTGTCACATTCAATGATCTCAGCGTGAAGAGGGACTTCTACTTTTGAAACTAGTATTACAAGAGTGACAGTTGTGGAACCACCACTTGACAGATTAAGATACTGAACCTGCTAACACACACAGGGAGGAAACAAGATGGAATTTCAAGGCACACAACGTTTAATAGGGGTCTTCTAAAAAATAAACTTCTTTCTCGAAGACATCCGCAGCTTACAAGGAAGGAAGTGCATCCTAAAAGGCCATGTTCTACGCTTAGGCAGTTTTAAGAAATTCTTTTTAAGTAACCAGATGTAGGAACATATTTTGCCCTCAATTAGTACAAACTCAACTACAGAGAGAATCTGTATGTAAGGCAAGATGAGGCCTGTAGCCAAGAAACATTACCTTGCTAAAAAGTACTCAGAATCTATGCTAAAATTGAACAGGATTTTTTTGTTCTTCTTTTCTGTACTGGCATTGAAACCAGGGGTGTTCTAATACTGAGCTACAACCCCAGACCAACCCCTGCCCCTTTAATATTGAGACAAGGTTTTTCTAAGTTGCCCAGGCTGTCCTTGAACTTGTGACGCTCCTGCTTCAGCTTCCCCAGGAGTTGGGATTACAGGTTTACACCCCTGTGCCCAACTGGATAAATGTTTAATGTAAACTGTGAGCATAACCCAGGAAGGAAAGTTGCAGCGAACCCTGACCAGGAAGGACCCCATGACCTGCTCTGGGAAGGGGCCATGCCAGGCCTGTGCCTACATCTTTGTCCCCGAGCGTCTCCAGCAGCAGCAGCAGGATGGTCTTGAAGTGCTCCTCCCAGACGCCCAGGCTGTCCTCCCGTGTGATTTTGAGCAGCTCCAGCAGGGCACCCTTCCGCTCCTCCACCCGCTCGTTGTGGTTGGACAGTTCTTTCAGCAGGTCCGCCACCAGGTCAGAATGGTCAATGGGCACTGTTGAGACAGAGAGGACAGATGTCAGCTCACAGGGAATGCTGACTGCAGCCCCTCCCTGCAACCTCCCCCCGCCAGCCCTGCACTGCAGCTGGCCTCTCTCAGCATAGCCCTGGCAGATCTCCCCACTGCATTAACTGAGGACGGAGGGCGACACCAGCTGTCCAGTGCCAGTATTCTGTGCCCACATCCTTCCTGCCCATCTCTTCCCTTCTATTCCACACACCGGGAAAATGCAGGCACCCTCCCCACACCTTTTCCCGAGCATCTTGCCAAACTGTCCCAGTCGGAGCCCCGAGTCAGGCCCTCCATCAGGAAATTCTGGTAAGTATCAGACTTACTCCAGCACGTTCACATGCTCAAGGCTCCCCTAACACCACCTCTTTGAGTACCAATTCCATTCTTGAATGCCCAAAGCTCAGGAAAGGGCAGAGTGGACAAACACCAATCAAGGTGTCTGGACCAGCTGGGCATGGTGGCACATGCCTGTAATCCCACCCAGCACTCTGGGAGGCTGAGGCAGAAGAATCTTGGGTTCAAGCCCAGCCTAGACAACTTAGCAGGACTTTTCCTCAAAATAAAAAAATGGGCTGTGGAAAAGAGCTCAGTGTGAAGCCCCTGAATTCAATCCCCAGTACCACTACTACCTTCCTGCAAAAAGAGTGCCTGGACTATTGAGACACTGTCAATTTGAAGATGGTGGCACTGGTCCCAGATCACTGAGCACAGCTACTGTGACTTGGACTATGTTTGTACGGCAGAAGGGCACATCCTCTTTCTTCCCACATTTGTTTATGGGGTTTTAACTGTGCATATTTGACTTCACATAGTGAGTATGAAAAAAACCAAATCATTAGGATCTACTTCAGCATGTATTTGCATATTTCTTAGCTTCTGAGATTAGGGAGCAAACACACAAGGAAGTCTGAATTGTTAAGAAACCATGTCATTTTGCCACATTACCTTTCTCTTTTAGCCTTTTAGTGCCAGTTGGTGGATAAATAATAACTGACATACAGATCTCTATTCAACCTTAATTAATCAAGATCCATAACCGATAGGCAAAAGATGTACCATTTCTATAAGCAATAAAAAAACTAGTCTACTTTGCCCAGAAAGCAAGAGACACGGGGGTGTGCACGGAGCTGCTACCCACCAGCTGTGAGCCACTCATAGCCATGAGAGTATACATTTGCAAGCCCCAGGCAACTTCCGCTGTGGCCAACTGGACTATCTGGTCTCCTTCTTCCTCTGTGGCCCTGAATCTGGTGTTTGTCTCTCGCACAGCCCTCCTCTCGCACATGGGTGGTTATTATGAGCCTGTTACCCAGTAGGCCTTGAGCAATCTGGAACTAGGGACTGCACCTCACTTTCCTCCTCGCCTAGCACCCCACACACTTCATGATGTACAGAAGGCACTGAGTGAATGTAACTGTTTAGAGTTCTAATTGCGGTTTCTAGCATAATTCAAGCCTCAAAAACAAACCAGCCTTCAAAACAAAAGATATGTAATTTTAAAAAGCACTATGAAGGTAAAATAAGTAAATACAGGAAGGTGGAACAGAAAAAATTAAGTTCCAGATAAAAATATTTGTTTACTCATCAAACCAATATATACTTACTGGTTACTTAATAACTGATAGTATATTTTACTGTTTTGGTGCGGGGGCTTGAATCCAGGGCCTGGCGCTTGCTAAATATGTGCTCTATCACTGAGCTGCACTCCTATGTCCTGGACACTAGTCTTAACACAGAATCAGAAGAAAATTCACTCTAGTTCCATTCTGTACTATCCATGGTATATTTTGGACAAGTAACTTAACCTTTCTGATCCTTAGTTTCTTAACCTATAAAATGGAAGCAACCCTCATTTATCTCCATGATAATGTATGTATGACAGCTCAACACCAGGCATGGGTAGGGCCTCCCAGCTATGGTACTGAAGACAGCGTGGCACAGCCCAGGGATAGCTGGTCAGAATGCTGTGCTAGGACCCCCTGCTCCCTGCCTGCACTGTCAACTCCCACCACTCAGGCCAGGGTCTTTGGAGACCTTCTCTCCTGCCCCCATAAACAGACTGCAGGCTTACAGAGCATAGCAAGTGCCTAAACTATCATTTCTGTGGGTCTCTCATCTTAAGCATCCAGCGGGGACTCCACAGGAGTTTTTGAACAAATGGCTACTCAGAACAGACCTAGCATTTCTGTTGAACCAGCTTTGTCAAAGCTGGTCTCCCCGGAGGGAAGCATGCCAAAGGCCCTGCTGGATAGCCAAAAAGACACAAACCATCCCGAAGCTGTTCCATGTCATCATCAAACATGGCCTCTTTCAGGGCTGTCTTGTCGTAGGTGTTGATGGTGTCTGAGTAGGGGTACGGGTTATAGTCACGTGCTCGTGGCCCTGGGAAGGCGCGTGGGGGTTGGGTGTTGAGGAGAGAGGTCTTGTTGTCCAGGGCAGTCCTGCCTCCTTCCACTTCATTGCTGCCCCGGCCCTCAGTGGCTGGGGATGCAGCTCCTCCATCCCGAGAGACCTGGAGCACAGGACAGGGTCAGTAACCTTCTGAGACTTTCAACATACTTTTTTCGCCCTTTCTGATGCTCAGAAATATTAAGAGGGCCAGAGATTTTCATTTGACAGACTCTTGACCTTCACTCAGGTTGCTGCTCAAGGGCAGTATCATCTCCACAGCTCATTCTTCCTGAGCACCAAAGCTGGCTGCAGGGCCCGTGGGTGTGAGCCCCAACCACACCCCTCACGGCCATCCTGTGCACAGGTACCTGCCTTTCCCACAAGACTGGAGATCTCAGGGAGCCTAAATGGTGTCTGGCACAGGCTCACCATTTTTATCACATCACAAGAACAAAAACACACCCAAGATAAATGAAAACAAGTGAATAATTACTCCTGAAATTTTGTAAAAAATGTCCTTGGGCCTCTAAAAATAATACTGTTCTAACAATAGGACAAAGATAACGATGAGCCTCCATCACCACTGTGATCAGCATTTAGAAGCTCCGTAACTATGATTAATTGATCTCTAGTTCTTTAGTACCTGAGGATACTTACAATATCAAAGTCCTTTTTGCCATCTCGTTTAATTGGCTCATTCAGATCTTCCTGGCTTCGGAAACTAAACTTTTCAATGGCTTCTGTAACTCCACGTAGAGAACTATATATTTCTTCAGAGTTTAGGTTCTCTGTATCATAGTCCAGCATGCTAAAGATCAAAAATGTTTATTTCTTAAGTTGAAGTATACGCATAAAATCAGGGTATTAGCATATGTCACTAGTACAGAATGAGATGTAATTATACTTTTGGGTTTTTTTTAGGTGATTTGGAATGAAAAGGAGCATTTTTTTTTTTTTAAGATTATCACCAGTGAACAATTACACATCTTCTTAGTCAAATCTGGCCCAAAACATTTTATACCAGCACTCAAGAACCAGTGGGAAACAACAATAACCACGAGAACGTAAAAACTCAAAAGTGTGACAGTTGGTGACTGAATGCATGAGGTAATGAAAGTGGAAAAATAATTTTCTTATCCCAAAGATGGAAAAAAGTACTTGGTTGTTACTGGTCTCAAATGTACAAACCTAAATTAAGAGAAACAGGCACTTAAGAAATAAAACTTGCATTACCAACAAATTTCTGAGGAGCAAAGCAAACAACTTCATAAAGCTAGGATATGCGTGCCCTGATCTAATCCAGAAAACTAAGACTGTATTTTAAAATATGAAACCAAAACAATCCTGTGATTCAAGGGCGGATCCACCCTGGGGACTCCTGAGAGTCTCACAGTATTCAAATAGGAGTTTCTTGTGAATACTGAACTCTTCTAGATGCTTCCATTTGGAGTTTTATAAAAGTAGATCTTATAAAGAGAGCAGCATTCTTGGATGGACAACTAGAAACACTTCTACGGGCAAGAAATATTTGTCCCTCCTGGAAAAGAGATGTCGGGTGCTGTCCTTTGAGATATTAAGCAAAACGCAAAATAAAGCAACTACGTTAAAAATCCTTTTGGCATCCATAATGTGATTTGTCAACCAGTACCCTTCAGATGTCTAAAAAGTGCACCAAAACAGACAATAATCCTGAGAATAAAAACCACCACTGTCCCTCACTGAGAATATAAAAGAAATGCATGGGATGGATACCAGAAGAAAGGAAGCAAAGCATGATGTAGCAGTCAACTAAGAACAAAAAATGTAACTAGGTTTAAATGTCATTTGTTTCAAGAAAGTATTCAAGAAAAGATCAGCTGAGTTAGCCTAATGTAACGTGCAGACAGTCCTGAACTGTACAGAGGATTGCTAGGGACACTCAAAGAATCACTGGCTGTGTGCAGGTAAGCGTTCAGCAGTATTAAGGACTGAAGAAAAGCAAACTCTTTGCTCCTCACAGGAGTAGTAATTGAAGGACTAGGCACCCACTGCCAGGAGCTCTTCCTAACGGCACCAAATAAGGCCTGCGCACTGCGCAAGAGGCAAGTTTGCTGCAACTTCAAAACAACTAATATTTACTAAACCCACCCCCTTACCTTCAAAAAAAGAAAGGGTTTCGGCAGATGATCTGGAGAGGTGTTATGTGGAGTGCCAGATCTCTACTTGGTGGAGGGGACAATGATCCCAGTATCTTCTAAGGCTGGCTCAGTTCTGCAGGTGCCAAAGACCTGAACTCACTCTTAGAGAGAGAAGCTCTTTGCCTAAGATTGCAAAACTGGCCCAGACAGAATCATCCTTTCCTGATGAATGGAAGAAAGTACACACGGCACTTACATTTGGAGAGTTCACAAAAACATATGCCAACTCAAAGACTGGCTCTGGCACCAAACAAAAAGAAATGTGAACTTCGAGTACATGCGCTGCTGAAATACCATGTACATACTGAGAGGAGGTGGAATAACAAGCTTGAACAGCATTCAAGATTTCAACCCCCTGTCAGGTCACAAGGCTACCCCCTGGATGCACAGAAAGCATGGCTGGGGAGAAGAGGTGCTCCCTGTCCCCCTCTCCTAGGAACACAGCAATAGCAGCCTATGTTGGGACGAAGGCATTTATACATCTGGCCAGTATACTCTTTTTCTATATAAAGACTGAGCAGTATGACTCAAACAAAAAAGATGTAAAAAAAAAGAATGCCTCAAAATACTTTGAATCACAACAACTAAAATTAACAGCATAGCCCATGCAAAAGAAAAAACAAAACCAAAGAACTAAAAGAATGATGGGTGGATGAGAGGCAGTCTAGCAGAACGTTCAGTTAAGGGATGTCACAATATTATTTTCCATGTGTCGCTTCAGAGAATGTTGACTTTCAGATAATTCATCTCATGATTCTCAGCCTGAACTTTCTAAAAATACTTCATTTCAGTTCAATCAACTTTACCATTACAATAGCCTCTTTCAAAAGTAAAATAAAGGATTCTGCCTGTGAATGTTTTTCCTTCTCAGTTTCAATGGATAAACCAATCCCAGCTTCCTGATCAAGAACAGCATGTGCATGTAGGAAAACCAGAGTTGCCTCCTTGTAGGATTGTGAGTGTGAGCTTTGAAGTATCTGCTTGGTATGAAGGAGAAATTATGAGCTCCAGGTAAGAAACATAACTGCTTTCCTAACAGGTAATGGGCAGTTATTATCTTTGCTGTTTCTAAATTCTGGCTTGGTCTATCTTTTTTTCAAAGCAATACCTACGAGCCCTCACTTTATAGGGAAAGACTCTAAAGATCCTCACCAGGGAGTGGGCCACATAGTCCATCCTGCGTCCTGAGGAGTGACACACAGGGCGCAGGGGGAGGGACTCAGCAGCTGACTGGGAGGAGGCTCTGTTAGGCGACCCTCCACCTACCTCCTACGCCACAGTCTGTCCTGTTTCAGCTCTGGACAATCTCAAGACATAATCCTTTGGGGTAAAGGCCAGGTTCTGATTACCTGTAAACACTCTGATTAGACCCCAGAGGGCTTCCTTAGATTAGGAAAAGTTACTCAATCAGTCAACAGTCACTGACCTAAGGTCAGGGGTCACTCAGCACTGCAGCCCAGTTCAGCTCTGTGGATCTGCTCTGCAGAGGACAGCATGGTAGGTGGGCCCAAGAAGAGACTGAGGAGGGGAAAACTGCATTCTGAGGCTCTCCTTTCATTCTGCAGTGAAAAGACACTGGGTATGGAGTAGGGCAAGTGTTGTTATGAAATCAAGTGTTTTGGTAGAAAACAGAAATGAACACAGATTCCCTCCTAGCTTCCTCAATGAAAAAGTCTCCCATCAACTCTCTCCCTCTGCTGCTCAGCAGAGCTGTATGTATGAAGTATTATCCACTAATGAGTTAGATCAATAAGTGTCACTCTACGTGATGTGAAAGAGGATTCTGGAAATTTGATGTCCTCTGGAGGGTTTGCATATGACCAGGTGGGAAGATTGGAGGGGTGAGGTTTGGTGTGTGTCAAGTCAGGAAAGGCAATACATACACCTGGAGATATATAGTCAGTAAACTCATCTGTAAACTGAGGTTTAACCTTAAAACAAGTAAGCAGTGCTGGGCATGGTGGTACACGCATGTAATCCTAGCACTCCGAAAACTGAGGCAAGAGGATTGTAAGTTTGAGCTTGCCAACTCAGTGACTTAGTAAGACCTTGTAACCAAGTAAAAAATACAAAAGGGCTAGAGATGTAGCTCAGTGTAAAGGCCTGGGGTTCGGTCCTCTGTACCGCTGGGGGGGACAGGGATGACGACACTAAAAAACTCCTGCCATGCTTTGTTAACATTAGAGACAGCAGCATTCTTATCTGCTTGCCCTAATCTTGTGTACCCAGAAACATTCACCAGAGTTCTGTGTGCTTTGGAAGTAACTTTCAGAGCTGTACGAAAAATGTTAAAGTTTTCTGCTGATTTACTTAGTGTATTCAGCTTCCCTAGGATACAAAAGTAGGAATGCAAATCTTAAGTGCAAAAGCTATCTATGAAGCATTTTCAAAGTAAAAGACTATTCCTTTTTTGGACCTTATCTTATCAGAGAACATGAAATCCTCTTAGAAAGTAAAGGATAGCTAGACTGCCTTGTGCTCTGCTCATGTAATTACAGGACCCTGACCCCCGCCCCTTGCCAGGAGAGCCTAAACAGGTACCTGTAAGCCCACATGGACTGCAGGATCTAAATCTGGGGATGCTAACACTGTCACAGTCAGTAAGCCTCATGCAGCACCAAAAGCAGGGGCTTGGGAGGAAACAGCTCTCCTGCTGGAGGTGGGGCATCTGTCTGAAGTGCAACCGTGTTCCTACCTCTTTCGCTTCCTGTCCAACCTGTATGCTCAGACTACTGCCTCGTGACAGTATGTGAGGAAGGAAGTCACCCATGTAGCAACAGCAGGGTTGACAGCAATGTGGGCATTTGGGACAGCATGGGTGTCACCTGCCCCTCAGTGGAATGTCTCTGCACCTGAGAAGCACGCTGAGGAGACCGCTCCCACTGCTGCCTCTCATGTCCTCAGAGTGGGTGAGCTCCTTGTGGAGGCTCAGCGCTGTACTGGGTCAAAGGTCCACAAGAGCAGACAGTGAAGAGTCTGGTCAGGGGAGGACGGGGTCCTTGTTCCTGTGACATGGCAGCAGCTGGGCTCAAGAGATTCAGCCAAGATTAAGCATGGCTCACACTTCTCACCAAGGCTCTCCTCGTTCAAGGCTAAGCTGAGTCAGGGATCGTACTGGAGGAGCTGAGAGGCTTTCCCAGAGACCTGAGACGACCTTGGAAATATAATAATATTGTGACAACTCAGACAAGGGTGACAGGTAGCTTGTTACCTGGGAGAGTAAGAGCGCCTGAGAGTCTTGTGGGAGGGAGCGGTGGGAATGGAGTTAGGCTGAGAAAAGGGAGGTGGGTGCTTCGATAACCCATCGGCACTCCAACCCCACAACCGACTGCAGTGATCAGAAGAGGAAAATCAGAGACAGAAACACAGCAGGCAAAGGGGAGGGGAGGAGGATGCGCTGTGCGCTAAGTGTCTTCGAGTCTCCTCTGTCCTTGACAAAGTTCTATCAAAATTAACCGGAGCAAAATTAGCACTTCACCACACAGAGAAAAAGAACACATTTCATTTTATAGTTTGGTCCTCAGTGAGATGGCTTCATTCTTTCCTCTCTCAACCATGGGCTGCGTTTACCACTTAAAATCATGTGGGATTGCCAGAGTGTCTAGAGGTGAGCACTGTGTGCGTGCGTGTGCATGTGAAGGGATGGGTGTGTGTACACCTGTGAGTATGTCTGTCTGCCCGCCTGCCTGTGTCAGGAAGGATGTTGTAAGCACCTGCATACCAGAAGCCTGCGTGTCCTGTTTCAGTGAGTTCATCAGTCGTTCTAAGAGAAGGCAGTGGGGCCTCGACTTAGAGGGAAGAGGGGGACTGCAGCAGAAAGGCAGGTGCAGGGACCAGAGGACTCCGGTGCGGGGTGGGGTGCTCTCTGAGCTGGGTCCGAAGGAGGCAGTGTTCAGAGGCAAGCAACCTTCCGCAAGAACAGCAGCGCCCCTGCTAGGCTGGAGCAGCGAGTCTCCAAGTATCCGCTGGCCTGCTTGGAGGAGGGGCCAAAAATCTATTCCTTTACTTACAGCAGCTGATATGAACACTAACATTCACCTGGGCATGTGCGTGTTTGTCCTCACCTCACAAATCTCACTAGCTGACCCAGGCACACAGGGGCCAGGATAGAAAACTCTAACACTGTTATGTTCAAAAGGATAGAAGAGATTGAGACGCAGGAACTGAAATGGCTGCAGTAGCTCCTATGGAATGGCCCTGCAGTGCCAGGGGAATTCTAAGAGCAGTGCCTCTGCGTGCTGCTCCTCCCTGTCCTCAGCACTGCGACACCACCACTTTGTAAGGAAATAACACAAGGAGTCTTTGCAGCATGGATGGCCTGAAGACCTTCTCCTGTCATGCACTGGGCTAGGGTGGGGGCTCAAGAATCCTGCAGCGACACTGTAAGCTGGAGATCTGCTGACGGGTGAGGAACAAGCAGTCACCCACAGCTGACTGTGGTTCTTCATTAACCCCTGCTGTGATTCTGCACACTGTGGATTTCCTGATGGGAGAATTTTGTTTTTGTTTTTCCAGAGATGGGGTCTCGCTATGTATTCCAGGCTGCCTTTGACCCTACTACACAGTCCCAGGTTGAACTTGAACTTGTGGTGATTCTCCCGCCTCAGCCTCCTGAGGGCTGGGCTTACAAGTGTGTGCTACCACAGCTGGCTTTCTGATGGAAGGAATGTAAAGTCCACCTAAAACTACTTTCTGTTGCCAGGGGACCCACTGGTAAGCTATGCAGTGCCATTCAAACATTATATGTTTGCCAAGAATGTAAGGCAGACTGCAAAGACCCTAAGATAATCTGTTTTCTCAATGGAAATGAACTTCAGATAATTTCTAAAATTGGCCATAACTCTGTTTCTCATTTACCTTAAAAGTATTGGGTAAAATTGGCTACAATATAAATATATACTCAACCTCCTATCCATATACTAAGTAGTACTTATTTGTTAGTTGGTAATAGGCAGTCATTTTTCTCTCACACAGAGATAATGATTAATAGGTTGTCAAGCTGACATTTTTAACTATTGTATTGATGATAAAGTGACTTTCTCATTATTGATTTTTAAAAAATATCTATCAAATTAGATTTCATTGCCATTTGGGAAAAATTCCTTATTATCACCATGATCAAGAGAACACTTGGACAAAAACAAAACAACCTTATTCATTTTGATACTCAAAATTAGTTTAAAAACAAGTCATTGGTAATCGTGTTTCTTCTTAAAAATAAAACGCTATTATTGCATGATCATGTCTCAAGAGAAATACTCAGAAAAACTGCTGAGATTGTGTATGGCAGACTCTTCATCTCTTTAGAATGTGGCAATGTCAATTCCCCAGTTGAGCATAAGAATTCGTTTCTCTCATAATTTTCCTGTTAGGAAGTATGTAGCCTATCTACTGTCAGTGATGTGAAAATGTGCGGCAGTTTTCCCCACTACTGGATAGGTTTTCTTGTGTGAAAAATCATTTTTCTTATTGAGTTAAAATTCACTAAGGTTATTCAGCCTGAATATGGACATTTTTTTAAAAGAAAGAACCTACATAATGAAATAATCTCCTAAAGAAGAATTTGTCCATAAGAAAATATGTAGGTCACACTTGGACATTTTAATACTGAAAGTAAATCTTTTCATTTCTTCTACTGATCTGTAATCCTAAGAGTAATAATTAAAATGAGGCTAATTAAGAAGGAATGGTGACCTGGAAAAATAAATTAAAATTTTTAATGATTTGGAGATCTATGAAGATTAATTTCTAGCCAGTTCTTTGATGGACAGAATCTGCTAGCAGCCCCCCGATTTTTTACCCTAGATTATTAGCACACAGAATGAAATACTTTTTGCTTATTACCTAAAAAAAATGTGCTAGCCAATGCAATAACTAAAAGATGCATGAGCTGTGTATGGAAGAATCAATTTCCCAGTTAATATTGCAGAAAATGACATATAGATAAAGGCAACAAGCTCTAGAAAATATAAGTTTTCCATAAAACTTTGTGACCAACACTGGATCCTGGTCATTTAAGACAAACCATGTATTTTAAATATAGACTCTAGCATTTTAAAAAAAAGTTGGCCAAACCCTATTCACCTGTGGGAATAGTCAGACCCAGTTTCACTGATTTTTGGTCTCAATTTCTACTTATAAGAGCCTGCTGAAGTCATGATAACACAGACCAAATCTAGACACAGAGCATCATACTTCACTATACTCATGGGGTGAGGGACATCTGTTCCTTACACAAGGCAACAGGAACAATAAAATACTACAGATATATTTTGTTTCACTAAGAGAAAAATATAAAATATAGGTTTGGTACATTCCAAAATACATCCAGGATAACTAAGGAACCTAACAGGACTTCGGCGGTAAGGAAGGAGTGAGACTCCAGATTATTTAAAAATCTAAATTTGGGCCAGGCATGGTGGCGCACGCCTGTAACCCCTGTACTTGGGAGGCTGAGGCAGGAGGATGTTTGCAAGTTCGAGACCAGCCTGATCTACAAAGTGAGCTCAAGACCAGCCTGAACTGCACACCAAGACCCTGTCTCAAAAAGACAAAAAAAAAAAAAATCTAAATTTAAAAGCACTTATGTTTTGCTGTCTTCCTGAGGAAGAGGTAAAGACTTCAAGGGAATATGGTTTTTTGGTAATATTTTCATTTCACTTAAAAAGTTTGGTGTCAGCAACCCGCAGGACAAAAATCTCCTGGTTGTCACTGTTAGTAAGTCCAAAGATCTGGAAACCTTGTAGACAAAACACAGCCTTGCGAAAATTCTGGCCTGCCCAGCCACTACTCTAGAATGGGACTGGGAGCGACTCCACTCCCAGAAGAGTCACCTGAGACAAAGCATTTTCTTCTTTTTTTGAGGTAGGGTCATGCTATGTAGCCCAGGCCACCCTTAAACTCAGCCACACTATTGCATCAGCCTCCCAAGTGCTGGGATTACAGGCGGATGCCACCATGGCTGGCTAGCATTTTCTCTTCTGAGGTTATTGTCCAGATTCTCTAAGGACAATGTTGCATGGTCCCAACAGGAGTCTGATCTAACTTAATTCTGACATTCTAAATCATAGACCTCCAGAGCAGGATTCTGTGTCAAACGTAAGATACCTGGAATGGCCAGTTGGTTGGAAAATTACTCAGGACTTGGTGCAGACTATGAAGGGTTTAGCAGATGATTTAAACAAATACCTTCAGGTTCTCCCATTCCTGGGAGAACAAATAATGAGTTCTTTCACTGGATTTTATGACAAAATGTGACTTCTCATTTCGAAACTTAGAAGATACTAGAAAGTGTTTAGAACTAGAAGAAGCACAGAGGAAACTAAGCATAAACCGCTCCACTTTATCACACAACTCAACTCTTTTGCCCAAAGTTACAGTTATAACTGGAGTGAGGACTAGAGCTCATATTCCTTATTGGTAGTATGCTGAGTCCAAAGATCTAGAAACAGGCTGCACACCGGGGAGGTTCAGTTTCTTCACTGCTGTGGAAGAGAGCTTACCTAGGAGACAGACCACCATGGGAACAGTTGGTAGGTGAGGTCAGAGGGCTAGTCCTGCTGCTGGGGTGTCGCGAGGGCGTCCGGCCAATCGTATTGCTTGGAGATCCCTGGGGGAAAGGCAGAGGAAGCCCCATTATTTAAGAGTTTTCTACAGAATACAATCTGCTCTCCCCTGGATCTTCTGTCCCACATGTAAGCAGATGGGTAGATTCCGCCCACAATGGCTTTTTACTCCTCCCTCCTCAGAATCATAAGGTCCATCTTAAGAGCATGTAAACCAAATGTGGACAACAGTCACCCAGACATTCCTAGAGCTGAATGAGTACTGTTAGCTGTGCTATAATGTCAGACATAATTGAGTATTTGCATATTTAGAGTATTGATGAACTCAATGATGAGTGAATAATGACAAAATGTTGGTAAAAATTTAACTCACTGAACAACCTAGTATACAAAAAAGGCCATATAAAAATATCAGACTCATTCATCCATGGGGACACTGTCAGGGTAAGATAGCTCCTGACTCCTGAGATACTTCCAGTCTACTAACTGGTAACACGGAAACTGGGTGGCCTATTACCTGAGTCTAAACAAGGGACACACAGAGGTCACCACCAGCACAGAGCTTGACTTGTGACCTGGAGCACTCACCACACTGGTGTTACTAGAGTTCTTGAGGTGGTTATGCAGGAGTTTGGTGGCACCATCCTGAAATGTTTTTGGCAAGGCACCAAGTAACATAGTAAATTCAGGAGTGTTCAATTCAAACAGAGAGATTAGCACAATCTGTGCTGCCTAGAAAAGAGAACCATGATTAACTCATGTGATGTACAACAGCACATTCTGGTCAAAATGTTTATGAAGGTTGTTTTAAAAGAAAACTTTTTTAGTAAGTAAAATCTGGGGAAAATACCAAGAGCCACAAATAGTCTAACTTCATTCTCAAAAATCAATCTGGCTCCATTTTAATGCTGTGGTCTTCAATTTCCACAGCACATTAATATATTCCTGTAACTTTTCCCCTTGTTGTCTGGCAGGAGGAACTTGATAGGTTGGTAAATAAAAAAACTATAAAAAGCTTAAAATTGTCGCCACTCTAAGAAGTCAGACCTGGACAGGTTTCCCAGTGCAGCCTGGAAAGCAGCTCCTACTCAAGCTCTTGAGATACCTCTTTACCTCAACCTCACTCCTCAAAACTACTTAAAAGAATTAAGAGTTTAAGTATATTCCCCAACTTTTATGGCACCCTCCTAGTTTTACACCAAAGAACCAAGAAGAGAGACTTTTGGGAAGCAAACTGGACACAGAGGGTATAAATTAAAAACTTCCCCTTCTGTTCTCTTTTCCTTACTGACACAACACACTGCAGGAGCACGTGTAAGGGCGGCAGCAGGTGGAAAAAGCAATTAGCTGCAAGGGGAGCCAAATGAGACAAGGCTCTCCAGAAGGCAATGTGCTTCCTATGGCACTGACTTAGGAGCAGGCAATCTGTGCTAAAAGGCAATGCCGGAGGAACTAATTACTGTATAATGATTTTGACTTATAAGAACTAAGCCAAAAGAAAATTTTAGTAAATACCAATTGGTATTTCTTCTTAATTTCTAAGAGTTAAGAGAAAGGTAAAGACATTAAAAAAAACTGTTTGTGTGAATACAATAATTTCTTTTTCATTTTTACTGAAAGCATAATCTATTCAGACTAATTTTTAAGATTGCAGTAATTACTAGAAATGTTTTTTTCCATGACATGGCATATTACATTAAAATGTGCTTGCTGACTATTTCTTTGGAAATAAATATCAGAAAACATCTCAATGCTTTTACAATATTAAAATCAATTCTAGGCCTAGTAGAACAAATAGTGCCTGGAGAAGGAAAAAAGAAATCCAAAGACCCAAATTGAAAAGTATCTGTACAATAATGTTCTTTAGGGAATTAAAAATGACTTTAACATTTCAAAAGTATTATATTAAGCAAAGCACTGGGCCAAAGCATGTTATTTTTTCCTTGATCTCCAAATATAGTCAGTAATAGCCTTTCTACCCAAGTTAAATCACAAGTGGCCAGCATACTTTTATCACACAGGTAAAAGCACTATCACTGATTGCACTAAAATATATTTTTCTGTTTTATTATTGAAACATTTCAAATTAATCATCTGAAGAACTCTATTTCACAACCAATTTAATGCACTATTAGCATTAACATATTTTGTATAAACATATAATAGAACATATTCCAAAAACCATGCAAAGAAACCTATGCATTTTTAAAAAATCATTAGATATTAGAAAAAAAACACATGCAGAAAAAGTTGTACTACAAGGAGAAAGAAAGGAGAAGACTAGAATTTTAGCAGGAAAAAAATCCATGTTGTCAATGTAATAAGAAAGAATATGCACTTAGGTCTGTGGGTTGATATTCAAAAATTATAAAATGTATCACTGCATTCTTAAATCATATACTTTTATGTGTACTGTTCCACTGTCTTTAAGAGACCATACTTATTGTCAGCACGATGTTACCTAATGCTGCAAACTAACCTGAGGTTTTTCATGAAGCAAATTATAAACAAATCAGTAGAATCTTTCAGGAACAGGAGCACTACAAAACAGTAGGCCTGGAAATGGTGCAAATTCATGAGTACATAATTAAATGACATACATCCCCTGGGGAGAGGAAAGTGTACTCAACTGCCTTTGCTAAAAAAAAAAAATCCCAACGTTCGATTCTTAGAAAAAAGAATCAAAACCACATGGAATTTTGAATCTGTAACTAGGTGGACAGGTGTGTGTGTGTGTGTGTGTGTGTGTGTGTGTGTGTGTGTATTTTACACATATAAATATGATTTGTTTTTACATTTTCCAAAATAGAAAGCGTAAGTAATTTTATAGAGTTTGCCAAGTTCACTCTTTAGTGTAAAGCTGCTTTCAAAGTAAAATATTCTCCTAATGAGATGCAGCTTCCAGAAATAGAAAGTTTCATTTAATTATGTTCTTAAAGGAGTTTACATTGAATCTTATAAGGAATGAGATGATTATGGTTCTAAAACATCTTATCTAAGACTGTATTAGTTAATAAGAAATCAAAAACTGGAATCTGATCAAAGAAGAAAGCTGGGTTGTACTTATTATCACCAGCATGATCTCATTAACAGAATCACTAATATGAAGCTGTTTGGAAAGATGCAGTTCAGAAAAGCCTGGGGCACATGTTATGTTCACTAATGACTCAAACAAAGAATAAACCACTGTCCTGCCTGCACCTTGTGCTGCTGTCTGCACCCAGGCAGTGCCATCAGGCAGCCAGAACTTCAGAGTGCTGCTGACTTTTTTCTAAGGAACAAAGTTAAAGGTCAAATGGCAACTGGATCACTTCAAAAGGAAATTAATTTTACCCCCAAAAGAATTTAAGAGTGGGAGAGTAGAATAAAAGGTTCTCCAAATGTCAGTGGTACTGTCTGACAAGAACTCGTAGGGCCAGCAATAGCTTTGAATATTGCAAACCTTTCAGCACAAAGAAATTCTTCCCAGCAAGCAGGATGTTTTAGCTTTGACAAATGCTTCAGTCTTGATGTTAATTAAGGAGGCAAAACAAAGAGTTTTCTAACTTACTAACCTAGTTTTACTGTTCCATTTAGAGGCTGTCATTAAAAGTGCCTCACAGAATCACCAAAGAGAAGGTATTTTGGAACCTTCAGATAGTTCTCATTTTGAATCTTTTTCACTTTTCCATGAAAATATGGTAGAAGTCTATACTCAGCATGACTCTTCCACTAGAAGGTGGACAATTGTAAAACATATCATAACACCAACACAGACACCAGGACACACTCATGCTCATACAATATTATAGAAATTCCAGGTCTTTTCAAATTCTTGCTGGTGTCTTCCCAAGGGTGACTGGTATTAATAATCCAAAGTGCAAACAGTGAGGTATGTTGTTTGAAATTAGTAGACAGTTTCCAATCTACCTGTTTACAATTTTCTTCCAAGTTTCCTTCTCCAGGCCCAGAGCAGGTAGAAGCGGACCTAGTGGGGATATCTTCACCTACTCGACTACGCTGACGCGGGGACTGGCAACAGGAGAGGGGAGGACTGGGTCAGAGAAAGCAGCGAGTGCTTAGCCAAGGCTGTCTGTTAGCTGCAAGAGTATGTGGCTTCATATATAAAATCAAAAGGTAGGAATGAAAGCTCCAGAACACTCAATCATCAGGTCCTTTACCCAATCATTAGAGCCCTCCCTGGAAGCAAGAATATTCTTGCTCTAGATGATCAGAGGCCAAGATGTGCCTTGTAAGGGACTGCAGTCATAGTTGAGATTCAAATCTTATTTAGTGATAAATCACTTAGCTTTTAGTTTAGACCACACTGCCCCTAGGTTTGAGATTTTTTACAAAGTTTTGTAGACATTTCACCTTTTTAAGGGCACTCCCTGCTCTAGCCAACAGCATCTTTTTATGTCCTAGGTTTCTTTGCCATGCCGTCATTCCCACATTTCTTAAAATAACATTTTAAGGAATTATTAAATAACTATGGAAGATTCCTGCCAAGCTACCGAAAAAGGTACCAAAATATAAGATAAGCAAACATAAAGGCATTTTGAATCCTAAAATATAAGCATACAATTAAAATTTCTATCGTTACTGAATTTCCTTTGACAGATCACATGGCTTCCATCTAAATGCCGACAAAAATCTAGTACTTCATTTGTTCCATAAGCAATGATAGTAACAAAAAAACCCCTGTGACAACAGGAGAAGCTGCAACGGCTTATTAATTCTTACTTATTTATGTTTTGATACACTGTACTGTAATCCTCCTAATACTACCTGGGGCAAGTAGTTTTATTCCTACTTTACAGATAACAAACACAAACGTGGAGATTAAATGACTTGGTCACACAACAGAGACAGAAGTTCAAAGGAGGGCAAACAGTAGAATCCACTTTCTTTCTATGGGTAATAAATCCTATTACCTTAAGTCAAACATCACACATCAAGAAAACTTGAACAGACGTCCGTATGGTTTACTCACACAACTCCCTCCCTTAAAAAAATGAATCCAAACCTGTCTCAGTCTTATAAGCATGCCTCACTGGTCACAGGTTTGTGTTTCAGTTTATAAAACATCATTTAAAAAATACAAAATACTTTTCACCTCTACAGTGTGAAACATCTCAAAGTACTGAGCTAAGAAGGTAACAAAAAATTACTAAAAATGCTTAAGTCAGTGAATCTGAGTTGTATCAACTTACATCAGTTTAAAGTGTTTCAAGAACACCTCTACAAAAGGGATCTGAAGGATGAACTGTGCTGTCTGCAAATTCAACTGTCACTTGCATAAAACTTATATTCCCAGAGATGAGTCCATATAGGTAGTTTACTGCATAGATTTCAGGCTGGTTTTCTTCTAGTATTTAGAAAATAAACAGTGTAATGATATGTTGTCTACAGGTTTGTTTGTTTGTTTGTTTGTTCTGTCTTTTTGAGACTGGGTCTCACTATGCAGTTCAGGCTGGCCTTGAGCTCACTTTGTAGCCCAGCCTGGTCTTGAACTCACAACGATCCTCCTGTCTCAGCCTCCCAAGTGTTAGCCACGATGCACAGCTACAACACTGCAGATATTATTTGCAAAAAATTAACTTCCTTTGGAGATAGGTCCATAAGGATGTACTGTATAGATTTTAGGATAAAGATTTCTAGTTAAAAGGTAACTCCACAGTATTGTTAAATACTGAAAATAAACCTCATATTACCATTAATAAATAGCCTTATAGTACTGTTCAAAATAGACA